AAAAAAATATATATATATATATACATATATATATACATTATATATATATCATTACATATATATGTACATATATCAGGACTTTCAAGGCCTCGCAATTGCCATTCCTTGACAAAACGCCAGAGAGGAATGTTTTGTTTGTAAAAGTATATAGTGGCTATGAAATATAAAGGGATTTGGTTTATTTTTTAAGGTAAATATGCAGCTCTATCTTGCTGTACACACTGTGGTGAAGGGAAGGTTTCTCTGGGGGTGTTGCCTCCCATCAAGCCTCCCCTCAGGCAGTGCCCGAGGAGCACGCCTAGTCACGGCAACTTTGATTTTTGATTAAAGTTTGTGACATGGAATTAGGTTGCTTTATTGGTCAGGATGTATTGGGTGGTGTGAATTTCTGTTGATTTTTCTGAAGGATGGTGATTGGTTCTGTAGAGTTTTTAGAAAGTTGCCATGTTGGTCCATAGACTTTTAAAGATAGTGGACACCTCCGTAGAGTTTCATCGGCTGCTTTTAAGTATTTACATGTATGCTACAGCTGCCTGCTATTTGATTTTTTACTTTTTAAATTTTTCTTTGTTTGATATTTCTTCATTACTTTTCAGCATACAAATACAGATTTGACTTTCAGATATATATATGCAAGTATATCTGAATAGGAAAATGTTTTCTTTGTATTCATTTATGTTTGAAATCTGACATGAGTTCTAAACAGGTTATTTCCATGTTTTATATTATAATTTTTATTAAATGACCTATTTTTCAAATGTTTTTAAAAACTCTGAAATGCCCCAATAGTAAAAAGATATGTTTTTCTTTGTTTACACTGCAGATTGCTGATTTACTATAAATATCGGGCTAATTCTTTACCAGACACTAAGTCATTAATTTAAGTTGCTGTGACTGGGCGTGCCCTTTGGGCACTGCCCAAGAGGAGGGTTGATGGGCAAACCCATGGGAAACATTGTCTTCATCTCAATATACATGGAAAGATAGAGTTGAAACTCCAGAGCACCAAATGGACTTAGGCTGAAAGTGGTGATAGAGAACTCAGCACCGAGCGTGCTATCCATGGCATTTTTCCTTTATTCATAGCATCACCGTTCGTGTCTGCAGACTATTTTTTATTTTGACTGCTGCAACTTTTTGTCCTCGACATGAATATCATATTCAATTTGCCCTAACTCAGTGTGTCCATACCATAAAGATTAACCAGTATGGATTATATTGCTGTATCTACAGGTCCTTATGGTCTACCACCTATAAAAATAGCTTGTATTTTAGATTTAATTTTCTAAGTGGATTATATGAGTAACACTTCAAATTTCTCTACAACAATATCTACACCTTTCCCTAGCAAAGTACCACTACAAATGTCTCTACCATTAAACTTTCATCGAAACAATCAGTATGCAAACAAAGGAAACAAAGACCTGAAAGGTGTCACTCACCTGTACTTCCATGACGCGCTGTTCCACCTCTTCCCACGTGATGTTGCCGAGGTCCTGGTCCTGGATGCCAAGGGCTTTGTTGAAGAAGAGTTTGATCTCCCAGAACTGGAAGAAGGTGAATCCTGCGTGTCCCAGGCGCAGGAACCAGAACACTGAGGCCAGTAGGATCACCATCACCAGCTTCCAGGTGTAGTGCTCCATGCACTGGTCGTGAGTGCGGATGACATCTGGCAGGGTGATCTTGTCCGTAATGTTGGGGTGGAAGTTAGCAGGGAACTTGTTGCGGAATAGGATATCATAGTCCACGCACGTGAGGAGGAACGTGGTGAACACTATCACAAATATAAACTGCGCCAGCTCGAAGCACTGCTGCAGCATCATGCACAGGAGGCCATGGTTCTGGTGATACTGGTAGACCCTCGTGAAAAAGGAGTCGAGGTCTTCCAGGTGGTTCCATCTTGACTTGCTCGACTTGGGCACTACATGGAACACCATGCTGGAGTGGGTATCGGGGGAGAGGTCATCGTCACGCTCCCTCTCCTCCCCCAAAGGCACTCCCTCGGTGTCCCCCCCATCCAGGGGCTGGTACGTCGTTTGAAAGTTCTGGGACATGACGGACTGGGCATACGGACAACAGAACCCAAAATCAAATAAAAACAATGACAATAATTAAACTCAAACGAGAGGGGAGACGATATAAACCGAATAAAAAATGTAAACAAAGGCCTTTTTTTCCTTTTAGCGTCTCGTGCGAAGGGGCTCTGACGTTCACGTTCCAATCAGCTGATTTCCCCAAACAAGTCCAAAGAGCCTCGGACACCTAGACGCTCCCCCCTTCGCAATAACACTCGCTTCTGCACCTCCCAGCTCCTCCTCCTCGTCTCTTGCCTCACATCTTGGCCTCGTCTTGGCACTCTCTACGACATAGTACGAGTTTCAGCGCGAGCGGGGGTCCACAAAGAGGAAACTACGCATGAAAAAGGGAGAATTGCGTTGCATTCTCCCTTCGTCCCTCTGTCTCCTGAGCCTCACATCGCTCGCTACATCCCGCTCGCGTTCCGGCGCTGCGCCTTTGTCCGCCCTTCGATCAAATTATTTGGCGATTCTCTCCCTCTTCTTTTAATCGAATGTGCGTATTATCGATGCCTTCTACCTTTCGAGAATGCGATCTCCGCCGCCGAATAGTTGGCAGGGGGTCAAGGCACCGCGGAAGAGTGGGAAAATAAGACGCGGTTGGCGGCTGGCAGCGTGTGGCACCTCGACGCCGCTCCGCCACCCGGAAATACGACCCAAACAAAGCTCTATCTTGTGTACATCGTTATTCTTCCTCTTTAATGTTTATCTTCGGCTCTTTCTCTTCTAGTATTCGGTACTCTTAAATAATAGGTCGTCTTTTGGTGACGTGAAAGGGTCGAAGAGAGAGAGATGTGTGAATGACAGTTGGGACGGACGGGCCCTTGACGTAATCTTTCCGAATATCCGAATGAGTCATTCCTTACGTCAGGTGGACACATCGCTAGAGAAACGTGTGGCCATGCAATCCGCGTGCAATCCTCCTCGTCATGAAATAAAAGGCTTTCGTACCGAGGCCCAAGAGCCCCGAACTACGCCATTTTGCCTCCACACGAACCTCTCCCTCTATTCCTCGTCTCTAAAGACAACTCCATCATTTATACCCCTCTTGTTGCAACCACGAGATTCCTGCAACATTCCCACGGAGGAAATTGGCGAGAGAATTCCCCTGACTTACCTTGCAGGGCGATTTCGCGAAGAGATGTTCGTCCGGGAATCGATTTTGTGTCTCCGTTTCGCGCCAACGCTTTCGAACTCGCCGCCATGCTTGCCGTCCGGGTACGTGGCCGAGTGAGCCGCCAGCTGTTAAATAATCCCATCAGATCTCCATATTACATCAAGTTAGATATTAGAGGCAACCATCGTGATTATATTTAAATAGCTGCAAGATATATGAAGAGTATAATAGAACTTATCATAAGAAGAATTAACTATAGGAATGAAGCAAACGAAGTCACAGCACCGGTTTCGAATTCAAGATGGCGGCGGCAGGGAGGGCTGTGATTGGTCGATCGCCTCGAGTTTCATCATGGCGGTTTGTTATTCCGCGTGATATGAGAGCGACCGCTGTTTAAACCCTCGCCCTGTTCGCGCCCGTCGATGCTACGTCATTTTCGGTGAATGAACACGACCACCGGTGAGTCGTGAGGGTTTGGGAGGCAGAGAAATAGGAGGAAGACGCGTAATTAGGCCGCGAGGAGCGAGAGAAGGAGGGCCCTTAGGGAATGTCTTGCCTCCCGTCTTGATCTTCGCCAGAGACGGGATTTCGAATTTCGGCCACGGATTATGCCCGGAGTTGTGCATTGGGGGATTCTTGCGTCGCGGGGGCTCAGCGGGAGGGGGATTTGTGCCGAGGAGTGAGTGAGGGTAAGTGTTAGTGCTGTGAGAGAGGAGAAAATGGCCGTAATATGTTGTCCTCAATTTGAATTCATGGGCTGACTCGTTTCGTAAACACGGAGCATAATAACAAATTGTGTTTATTTGTTCATTTGTCTCTCTGCCTGTCTGCCTCTTTGCCTATCTGTCCTTCTGAGTGTCTACACAATTATCTATTTTTTCGATCGGTATCTGTCTATTTGAAGCATATGGTTTCTGTTGTCAGTAGGACCTTCTGGTAGAATTGAATTTCATCTCTGAAATGTCTTGCAATTCGAAAATTATTTACATTTATTATGTTTTGAGTCCATTGCCAAAATCTCTAATGGATGATGAAAACCTGTGGACAATTTGCTTCAATCTTCATTAGTTTTGAGGGGAATTGCATGTGGAACTGAGAAATTGATTAAAGCACTTTTTGTCGCTAATGTCCTGGTTGCAGAATGCAAGTAAACAAGATGACTGATGTCATATATTTTGTATTTGATGATCAGGCAAATATCGTATTACATTACGCCAAACCAGTTAATGTGCTTCCTCCCTTTTGCTCAATTTTTGCACGTTGAAATTCCGTAGACATTCTGATCCACCTTAACTAACACCAATGCATTGTGGTGCTAGTGAAATTCTTGTAGACCTTACTTACTTTTTATCATCCAATAACAAATCGGTTCATAATGTGGCTCAAGATATTTTATGTTATTTTGTCAACCTTTTCCAGTACTGGAAGTGCAAAGGACATGGCAATCAGTCACCATTCACCTTAGAGAAAACTCTGTACTACTTAGAATAAAGTGACTTAATGGTTTGCGGCTGATGACAAAAATGTCACAAATAAAAAGAGAAAATATACAATCACGGTAAGAGTAAAAAGAAGAAAAAGAAAGAAAAAACTATGATGGATTTTATGCATTTTTTTATCTGTTAAATTTCTTTAACCCATTTACGACGGGTGTCCAATATATGACACCTGGAAAAATAAACATCGCCGGGCGTCCCACCAGTGTGACGTTGGATCAGAGCTCATGTTCCAAATATGTTGCGGGCCGTAGCAGATACCAGTCTGGCCCTGCGCGCTGATGTTTTAACCACCTGGAAAATATTATTTTTGGCTTCAAAATATACCTGCGTTAGTGGGTTAACATGTTTTAGTTGTTATTTATGCTATTCTGTACAACCTTCTTATGTCACCATGACTTTAGAGAACTCAGAGTTTACCATTCCCTGATAACTAAACTCCGATGAGAAATGGGCAATTTTACCGAGCGTGACGCACTATGGGAAGTCCTGATTGTCATATTTAATAATCATTAAAAGTACCTTAGATTTATTTGACTAATAGATTGTTTGCATTCTTCACCTTTTCTTGTCCGATGTGCACTTGAGCAAATTGGCCAGATCTATTCTATACAGTGATTGAATGAGTTATTTTTCATTATGATGGTTTCAAAGCAGATATCTGATCATTTTTCTGTTTATGATAACCATTAGATAGTAAATATCAATTGGAATTAAGACCTGATTACCTGATTCTAGAATACTTTTATTTGTGACATATCGGCTGCAGGTTCGAGATACTGGAGATAATTGGTGTTACAACTGTGAATAGAGATGGATGTTTTGTCTTACATTTCAAGGCAAAATAATTATGTAAGTTTCAGTTAACTCTTTACTGTTTGGATGCATTCACCAGAGACCAAGCCCCAAACTCCATGTCAAAAACTTTATTCATCAATATAAGCTGTTGTGACTGAGTGTCCCCAAAGAGGGGATGGTTGATGGGGGGCTCTGGCCCCCAACACCCCCCTCAGAAAAGATTGTCTTTGCTTTATATGCATGGCAAGATAAAACTGAAACTTGGGAGCACCATGTGGAGTTTGGCTGTGAAGAGCTTTCCACATATTTTTACTTTCATTTTTGGCGTTATCATTAATTTCTGCAGATTATTTCTTATTCCGACAACTTTAACTTTTTGCCCTCTAAAAGAATATCATATTCATTTTGCGCAAACTTAGTGCATCCTTACCATAAAGATTAACCGTATTTCATATCACCGCTAGCATAATTTTGCTTCTAAGAATTATTATTCACTTTGTCAATGCCTTAATGTTGAATAAGTCCAAGCTTTGTCTTGCCACATTATATGAGGTGGATGTTTATTGGCCTTTGCCACAGCTCTGAGGACAGGGAGGACTAAGTGATTGCTTGATGCCACTAGTTTAAACTGTGATGCAGATTGACTCATTGATTAGTACTTGCAGCAGAGCTGTTATGATAATTTAACATATTTTGTTTTCCTTTTAACCACGTGCCGTCAGGGATGGCATGTGCATACATGCCATGCCCACTGTGTGTTTAATTTAGTAATTGTTTTTACATAGAGATGGCTCTACAAGTACAAATTACGAGAACTACCTGTCTCACCTGTTTACCCTTTTCCTTGATTTTCAATATTTTTTAGTATCTGATACTGCTGTTAGTATTTCTCCTTATACAATAAGTCCTAACTCTATACTAAACTCAACAACCTAGCCCTTTGACCCCTATGGTAGAGGTCTCTAAGAAGAAGAGAGATACAATGGCACAGTTTCATTCCTCTCATAAATATATAATTCCTTTGCTGAGATATCACATTATAATGGATACTAATGCCTTTTCTGCATGGCCACTAGATTGTTTTAATGGACACAATATTGGAAGCAAATCCTTTCTTCCAGCGCTGGTCACAGGTTAAATGCTCGCAGAGGAGTCAACAATCCTGGCAGTAAAAACATGTTGAAGGTTTTTATATTGACTTGCAATAAATATGGAAGAGCAGGCATTGATAATTATGTGATCATCATTTTCATAAGCGTATAGAAATTCACAAACTATTTGACATGTCGCTGGTATGAGTTCTTTGGTTATTGTAGTAGGCCCTACTTGCAAGTAAACAGCTTGAGTGAGGGAAAAGAATAGGCTCTGGCAAGGTTTAAATGCTTATTAAAAACACAGTGTGTGAGTGCACTAATTATATTTGCCATCATGGTGTTAATTGCAGCATATAAAATAAGTACATTATTTTCTTTAGAATATAGTGCATGTTGATCTCTGAGTTAAACCGCAAGCCATAATAACATTTATTTTCAATTAGTGACATGTATATGATAGATTTATCACTTTCTATTGCTGGTTACTATGTGCGTATCCAAAGCTGAAACCTAAGATTAAAATAAATGTGTTTTCAAAATACTTTCTCAAAAGTAATGAATATCTAATGGTAGCCAAACCTTTACGAGTTCCCTAATCCCCTCCCCCAAAGCCATCCTGTATCAGTCAATTGAGGAGACTGTCACCATCAAATATGGGTATCCTTAATGTGGGATCTGGATGTTTTTATATTTTTTCTGTTTATAAGTATGAAGGTGTCACAGCTTGAGTTTGGTTTCATTTGGCAAATAAATATCTGAATTAGAAAGTAAAATGTAAATTTTCTAATCAGGTGCTCCATGCTGTTGGGCTAACTTGTATCACATAAACGACCAAAGTCCCTGAGAAAGATTGAGTGACATCCTTCATTTATTGGCTAGAACTGGTACTGATTAATTTTTGATATCCACATTTATTAGTCTCAATATTTAATAAAAAAAAAAAAATCTTTGATACTGAAAATAGCATACTTTGTGCTACAAGATGTAACATAAATATATGAAATTGTATTAGTAAATAAGAAAATTAATTAAAAGTTTAGGAAATAAGGTAGCTATTTGTGTAAGTAAATTTAATAAACCAAAATCACATTGGACATGACATGTATGCTTATGCTACTCCAACATCAGTGGGTTCAAGTTCAGCAATTCAATAGAAAAATAATACTTTTATTAAAGATACAGCTGAAGCACTTATTGATTATACGTAATGTAAAGGTTTTTATTCCTTTTCTTTAGTTCCTCTTCCCTGCCCTCTCTCATTTGGTTAGAAAAATATTTATTTTACTAATTGCTATCTATATTTTGTCATTATCTGTAACTGAAGCTCTCCCCACAATTGAACCCCCTTATTAGAACATGATCAGCAAAACTAAAATAGCTGATAACATTTGACAGTAAACTAAAGAGCAAAGGTAAAAAGTATAAGCCAGTCATTGTTTACTTGGTCTTGATGATGCAATAGAGGATGAGGCTACTACTTGTTTTTGTTACCTACTTGCTCATGTATAAAAAGTTATTGTTTTGATTATATATTTGCTCTCAGTTACTTTTTTATAATTTCTTGTTCACATTCTTTTTCTGTATGTCCCTTGGACATGTTTTCTTCGCTAGAATTATGACTTTTTTCAATATTCATCTTCTGTTCAGTGTAAAGTACTGTAAAAGAATCCTCCTCATGTTGTTGCCGGAAATTCCAGGATGTTGTACCTTGACTGCTCCACTTTACTATAGACCCATGAAGCTTTAAAGGTGATAGCTAGAAGGCATAATTAAAGGTTGGCATTATACTTTGTTGTAAATGTAGAGTGATAGTACCAGCAATTACTGTTGCAGTTATTGGTTGTCTTTGTTTTGATTGATTTGATGTTGTCCATATCTTTCAATTATTTTAGTAATGTTGCTGGTTCATTGAAAGCAGTTAGTTGAGGATGTTGGTGAAGATTTTTTCTTTCTTTCATCTTCCTAATAGAGTATTCTAAGTAAAGACTTTTCTTATTATTATTCTTTTTCTTTTCATTGTTGCTGTTATTTTTTTACCATCATTTTTACTTTCATTAGTTTAATTATACTCTATTTATTGGTCTATTAATTTTATTTATTGACTTTTTTAAATATATGGCCATTAGCCTAATCATACCTGTCCCTCAACAGGTGGAGATGGTGGTGTGAGCGTAGTGCAGGTGGCGAATGGGGTTCGTCACACACCCTCCCACTCTCACGCACGAGTTACAGCTCAGCCATGAAGATCACACAAAGGAGCTGGACACATCCTCCCCCCCATAAAGTGTTGGGGGGTTTTGTTGGAGGGGGGCAGCTGGCTTGGCGGGCCTGCGGTCCCACTTTGGAGGTCATTGAGCCTACGACAGGAAGGAGAAAAGCTGCCTGGACATTTGGTGCCATCATGCACAATGCTGATGCCAGGGTGAGTGCCTGAGAATTTTTTTGTTGACTATGTTGATATTCATGGGGATGGCTGTCTGGAATTATGTTCTTTGTACTTTCTTTGTGCTGGATTATACAATTGAGAACTTTACAGATTAAAGTGTGGATTTTAGATAGAAATTGGATAACATCAACTTCTTTTTTATTGTTACTTTCATTTGTTTCTGTTGAAGTATAGAGTCAGTGAAACATAAAGAAAAAAAAAATGGTTATTTATTTTTTCATTTACTTATTCGTCTTATAGGTAACAAGTGTGGCTGGTGTTGGGCTTGGGACAATTTCCCAAGTTGCAGTTGGTGTGGACCTTGGTGCAGACCGCAGACCTCAGGGAATGGTTGCGCTTTTATCTCTCCACTCATCACGTGTAACTAGAGTATTTCATTTCACTTACAAGGTAAGGATGAAGATAGAAAGAACATGTCTTGTATAGAGTAAGGTGGTATCCAAAGCAGGTTATTTGTAAATCAGTGAAAAAATGAATATACATCAGGTGAGAATATGAATTACTTTTCATTTTATTAATTTACAAAATGTGTATTATTAATTTTAAAGGTAACCAGTGTGTGTATGGTGTCCGGTGGAGAAGTGAGTGTGGATCCGGGCACCTTATCAGCAGAGTTGCGTCCATGGCGAGGTCTGTTGGTCGTTGGAACTGCGCATGGCACACTTCATCTAGTTGACTTAGCATTAGACTTAGGAGGTGAGTAGTCAATGTTTTCTAGTCTCTGGATAAACAAAGTGTCTTGTAATATTTTATCTACCTATATTCTCTTTAAATTGTTTTTATGTTTTTCAGGTCATAAGGTTTTGTCTGATGAGGTCTCTCCAGGAACTTTGGTGAATATAACCATACCAGATGGCCAAGCAGAGAGTTCTCGGTTTAGTGCAGTTATGCAGAATTGCCATCCAACTGTGTGTTTAAGTGGTTAGTGTTTGTTTCAACTGTGTACTACACTTGAGTTTAGGCTTTCAGAACTCGAGTACTATTTTCTGTTGGCATTAAAGCCAGACTGATGTAGTGATATGGAATTATAGAAATGTACTTCTAATGAGAATACTCCAATGCTTGATTTGATTTTGAGCAATGTAATACATATAGTTGAATATATATATATATATATATATATATATATATATATATATATATATATATATATATATATATTATATATATATATATATATATATATAATATATATATATATAATATATATATATATATATATATATATATATATATATATATTATATATATATATATATATATATATATATAAATATATAAATATATATATATATATATATAAATATATATAAATATATATAAATAATATATATAATATATATATTATATATATATATATATATATATATATATTATATATATATATATTATATATAATATATAATATATATATATATATACACGTATATCAATGGAATATCAGAACCATTTATTTATCAGGTAATCTTAGAAATCTGTAAGCATTTATGGTATAGGATTTGCTATTCCTTTGAAATTCGAAAGACAGTACTTCATCATTATAATTTTTTCCAGATGGCATGAGTCACAATGGCCGCTTCCAGCTCATAGGACCTGATGACAATGTGCTCTTTGAGACAGCAAGTCACTGTGTGGTAGTTACTGCCATGTCCTTCATCCCGCAGCTTGCCTCCCTTGTTATAGGATATAATTTTGGGGCTTTCCAGATAATCAACCTGTCAACATTAACCATAGAGTGAGTTATAATTTTATTTATTTAACTTTACTTGTTTTTTAACTTTATTTCCTAATTTTTGTTTATTTTTTTCATTTATTTGATAACTTGTATTATGTTTGAAATTTGTAAATATTGTTTTTAGGGGTAAGTACTTTTTATGTTCTTGTAAAGTAATCTTTGTCTTGAATTCAATCTCAAAATTATGCAGAACATGATAAACTTTTTGGCTTTTCAGTTGTGCGAGTCCCTATGAAGACAACATGCCTCCAGTACATTCTTTTGCCTGCCAAGAACCAGAGAATGACCCCAAAAATTTTGTTTACCTTTGGCTCTGTCGGAGTTGGGGTCCATCTGGTAAGATACATGGATGGGTCTCTGCTAGATGTAATATCACTGAAAGAGGTATTGAGAATAGAGTGATAGTGCAACATGATAACTAAATGTGCAGTGATTTTGCTTGCTTCCCACAGATGATTCTGAAAGTAAGGATGAAAGGCCTGCTAGGAGGAACAAAGCCCCAGCACTGTGCACCATGTATACCATGACTTACGACAACAAAGTATGGATAGAAGGGCATGGATTGTGGTATCAAGGCCTTGCATCTATTTCTCCGAGGTTCGAGTTTGATGCCATTGGAGGTCTGGGTCTGAAGGGCCAGCCAGCCCAACCCAGCACAGTGTTCACTGCCATGACAGTGCGGCAGACAACCCACAATTCAGCTGTGGCACCAGGGGGATCTTCAGCTGCTTCGGCACTTGCTACTCCTGATGAAGATGGTGAGATTTAGATAACAGTGTAAATTTGACACTTGAAATCTGATTGGTAGATATCAATAATGTAAACCATGGGATATTGTCATTATTTATTTATACTTGAGGATCTTCAGTTTTGTTCAGTTTACAATTTTGTTTGATTTTCTCAGTTAATTTTGCAACTCTTGTGAGAAAATACACTGATTTCTTTTATAATCTTCAGCTGGACCAGCACCCGAACAAAGCTTGTCAATGTTTGGGTGGGTAGGAGGCGTCCTGGAGCGGGGTGTATTACTGTTAATCACTATCTGGCCATCTTCGACATTAACCAGTGGTATCAGGTAAGCATATTTACTGTACAAGATTATCAAAATTGGTATGACACAGTTTAGTTTGAATTTGTATAATCATTTCCCATAGGTGATATACTGGAATGTAAATGAATTTCCTATTATAAGAATATGTTAATGGATGCAAGTGAGACAAAATGGTTCCACATGGATCCTTCCCTCCTTCATTATATACCTGCTTACCCACCTCTACACCTACATCGTAATCTACTTATTCACTACGTGTTTTTATCTTTGTCGCTGCAGGCTCAAATGCCCTCTAATTTGAAGCTAGATGAGGCTTTGCTGTGCCCATACATGAGTTTCCATGTGTTGGACAGAGTACCTGCAGGAGCTAATGAGTTTGTCCTTGGAGCAGCCCCCAAGCCAGCGTCATGGACAAGACACATGTCACGCACTTGTAATGACAGTGACTGGTTCCCTGCTGCCTCTCATATGGTAAAGAATGTGTTTATGTTCACCTTTCTTTTCTTTTTTTTCTTTTTTTTCTTTCTCTTTTTTTCTTGATTTTTAAGTTTTGGGTTCTTTCTTTCTTTTCTTTTTCGTTTTTCCCAGAAAGTTTGAAACACGCATGATATATGTATATTTATGTTTTCATAACCAAAAATCTGGCCTAATGGGAACAAGGGTAACTATTCATTGGTATTTTATCCTTTTGTAGATGCCATGTGTTAACTAGTCAAGGTCTAATGGAATATCGATGCCAGAGTGCTCAGCAGGCATCCCTAACCTACCTTACATCGTGTGGGCCCTCTGCAGTAGTGAGCCCAGGAGAGGCCCATGCAATGTGCACCTTTTCTGGCCTTATTCCTCAAGAGAACCATCTGACAACTACAGGCTCTTCTATGGTGAGTTTTAAGAAGTTCTGAAGTTATCATTACCCCTGATGAAGTGATTTACTATGAAATATGTTTAAAAAAGAGAGAGAGAACTGAATGATTTTTAAAATTTCAGGTTTTGGAGCGTGAAGCCCTTCTGAATGTGGCTCTGGACCAGCAGTTGGTGTCCCTTTTGGTTCAGTGTGTTGCAGAATTTGCCGAGGGTCGCTTTACTAACCTTGGATGCTCCCTACCATCTTTATTAGACTGGGCTTGGTCGAGAGTGTGTGCCATCAAGGCTACCAATGACAACCTTAGTAAGTCCCACCCCCCTACAGAAGCCTCATTCAGATAGACTTGAGTTGTGTTGATGTAGAACTGCGTTTAGGTAGAAGAGAATGGACATTTTCAGTCTCAACTTCACTCTTTTTCAGGTCTACCCTTGTTTGACCCAGACTGTGGAGTCATTAGTGCAGAGAGCATTACCACTCTTCACCAGAATCTCAACAGTTTGGCCTCTCTCACCACCGTTGTTACTGCCATAAGGGACTGTGCCAAAACTAATATGATAACCATGAAAGGTAAATTTCCAGCTTTTCTCCATTTTACTTTTGTGTGTTTATGCCTAAATATGTATGAAGGTGAGAGGTCCTGGGAAACAGTATTTGTTATTCCATGGGCAAAGGAGCTTTTTTTTGTTTGTTTTCTTTTCCTTTTCTTTTTTCTTTTTTCTTTCTTCTAAGAAAATATTTTGAGTTACTAATTATGTTTGGAAATGCTTTCTTATCTACTTCAAATGAATTCATGGGACAGAGGTGTTACAGGTATAATAATTTTGTTTGTGTTTTTCCCCCCAAAGGTGCTGGTGAGCTTGAGAGTCGTGTCCAGGTTGTGAGTCTCTTGATGCTACATTTGAGTGTCGTCCTGTGGTTTTATCACTGTGGCCTACTTTCCCATAGTCCCACAGAAGACATTGAAGAGTGTCATGTACCCTTCCCTGCTGATCTCTTGTGTCGGATATACAAGAACAGGTAATTATTGTTCAGTTCAGAAAATATGAGTTTGATCATAATGTTAATTTTCCTCTTTCTTTTTACTGTTTGTGCTGGTAACAGTTCTAGAGGTTGGAAAATTAATTCTAATGTTAAATGAAAATTGAGTTTCAAAGCATTGAAAGAGGTTCCACAACTGACTCCATCCTGTTCCAGACGCTCAGAAATCAAGCGACTGAGCACCACCCTCAATGGTGCTGAGATCCTCATGATTGATGGTTTGTTGGAAGACTTAAATGGTGGCGGCAGTATTGGGAAGGCTTGGGAAAAAGAGGGAGGAAGTGGTTTGTACCCTCCACCTTCTCTACATGCCCTTTTAGCCATCTTCCTCCTACCAGATATCTCCACTACCACCAAGCACCGCATCGTCCAATACCTCTTCCTTGATCTAGCGTCTCTCCTCTCCGATGGGTAAGGTTTTGGGACTGATACGCAGTATTGATAAAATTTGATTTTATACTGTTCAGTGAAACCTCACATAACCTACATCTCTTTTTGCTTATTTTTAGTAATACCTATATAGTTTGTATTGTAAGAGGATTGTTCATATCTCATGTTGCAATATGTGCCTCCAGGTACACAAGAGTAGTAGAGGAGTTGGTGAAGTATCCATCAAGTTTTTCTCTGTCGCCTTCACACATCAAGCTTACCCAGGCCTTCTGGTTGCTTGACCACAAAGACTTCCAGGTAAAGTGTCATACCCATGTTTATTGACAAATGTAGACAATTGTTGATGGTTATGTTAATATGGAACTTGGTTATGTTGATATGGAACTTGGTTATGTGTTTTCCTTATTGTGTTTTTTTCTCTTGTTCTTCAGGAGGGACTTAACGTGTTACTGGATCCTCTTGTTAACACTAATGACATTACACCCTCACAACACAGAAGAATTGTTAAAGCTTTCCTCTATCAGGTGAGTTGTATATTGCTTTGGAAAAAAATTACATTTCCCTTGAGGTTCACACAATTTCTTTCTGTCATATGATTGGCCCATTGCCTAACAGTTAAACACTCAGGTTTCTTCTTTTGGTACATCATTTAAAACTGAGAATGACATTGATGATAAAATATGTGTGTACTGTAGTTTTCTTTTTCATAAGTATGAATGGCATTACATAATTGTTACAATGAAAACAAATGTAGACAGTGCTACTTAAACATTTAAGAAAGATAAGATGTGTAATATGTCATTATGCAAGTAGAATAAGGAAACTTTTTCCATTATTACATTGGCATAGTACCATTAGGTCTTTAGACTATAAATATGAGTTCCGGTTAAGTTAACTTTGAACAGTGTGAAAGTGCTCAGGACAGTCTTTAGTCCAAGTCATGGACTAAGTCTATGGCAAATTTATAGTCAAAGATTTTTTGGGACATTCCCTAATTTGTTAAAAGGAAATTCTTAGATTTTTTGTGAATGCTGCCTAGGGCACTGCTAGTAGATTACCTATAAAATTATCAAAACAAAAATATGATTATTAGCAATAAAAATGTAAACATATATTCCCTTATGCTAAATAAATAACTTCCTCAGGGTGAACACACAAGGGCACTGACTTATGCCCAGATCCGTCAGCCTCCAAAGGTGGACTTGGATGACATTCGACTGCATCTAACCCTCCTCTTAGCCAATGGCCTGATCCGAGAAGCCTTCCACTACCAGAGGACTCATCGGGTTAAGGACAACTCAGAAGATCTTCTAAATCATCTTTTCACAGGTATTTGTGGTGTATTAATGCTTTGTGGAATGATCAAATAATGCAAAAGCCCCTTCCTAAATCCCACTGAGTCCAAGCACCCTCAGAGTGTTTTGTGCATTTGCTGCAAGTCATTCCCATCACCCAGTCCTTCAGCCGAAATTCTCATGATGACAAGTACCTGTTATCCTGGCCCTCTGCCAAATTATGGTCACATTATCTGGATCATAGGGGTTAAGTAAGGGTACAGTTTTAAGAAGCAAAAGACAGGACAAGAACATTATTAGAAGTGTATCATTAAGAGAAACCTGGTCCAGTGAAAAGAAAACTAGCAAAAAAAAATATATGCAGTGATCGGATTACACAAAACTGTTTATTCAACACTAAGATGCACATCCATTGTTTTTATAATTTTATTTTGTTTTTGTTTTTGTTTGCAACAGGTTGTGAACAACTTGGGAAACTGGAGTGTGTGGTTCACCTACCTCTCTCACCCTTGGAAGAGGATGCACTTGTTTCCTATCTGAGGACCTCCTCGTATCCTGCAGCCCAGGATTATCTCCTTGTTTATTATCTGCAGAGAGCGAGGTTAGTTTTTCCTTATTGGTGATGGCTGTTCTTGCAGACAAATCATTTTTGAAAAGGCGTTTTAAATGCTTTCTTGTTATTTTTCATTAGTTTTATCCAATATATTATTGTTTGCTTATTTAGATACGATGAAGCTGCAGTTTTGCAAAACAGCTTGCGTGGTGGTCTGGGTACTGCCAAAAAGCGACAGGGAGCAAGGTCAGCACTCATCCATGGCTATCTCACACACTTGCCTGATGTTGCTAAGAAGGTTAGTAGATGAGACTTATAAATAGTTAGTGGAATTTGTATTTTTTTTTTGTAAAGAATAGATGGAGAAAGTACTTAAATTTTAAGATTGCTCAGCAAAAATTTTCTTTCCAGCTGTCATCTGCCAACTTAAGCAACAGAGGACCAACACACACTGTTTACAGTAAACCCCAGCCCCTTCATCCAAGCAGCATGCAGCCCCAAGACACTGCAACTAACATTAATAAAATGATACAGCGAGAACAAGACACGTGGTCAGTAAATAAGGGCGTGACCACACCCTACACCCCATTCAGGAGCAAAGCTCAAAGGCGTAGAGGGTATGGACAGCCTGAAGGCCTTGGGTTCGGGGATATCAACTCACCAAAATTGAGAGATCCTACCAGGTAATGTTCCAGAGTTTTACATTAAGAACACCACATTGTATATTTAAGAAATTGCGTATCAAGAAACTAAGGAAAAAAGAATCCTTTGTATTATGTTACTAGAACTCAAATTTTATTATTATTATTATTATTGTATTTCTACTTCTTGGCCTTACTGAATGTAATAAGTAATGAGAAAGAAATGGATGTGAACTTCAGTTCTTTAGTAATGATAACTATCCATCAGGCTACCTTAACACATAATTGATAATCAGAATATTTTCTGGAGAGAGAAAATATCATGTTTGTCTGTCAGTTACACAGAATTTCTTTCAGCAGTTTTATGAATGACAATGAAAGATAGTTTAAAAAGAAAAAATGAGAAGAAATAAAATGAAGAGAAAAAGGAATACAGTGAATTATTGGTATGTCAGTTAACCCACTAACGACGGGTGTCCCACATATGAGACACCCCCAAAAAATTAACATTGCCGGGCGTCTCACCAGTGTCACACTGTATTGGGGCTCGTGCTCCAATGCAGCAGCGGGTCACGGCCGGCAGGTGGACAGACTCCGGGGCAGCTCCGCTTGCCAATTTTTTAGCCGCCTGGAATCTTTTATTTTGGGCTTCAGTATATATCAGCGTTAATGGGTTAATGATAGTAGCTGAATGAAAATGTTAGCTGTATCTCATATATACCATTTCCCAGGAAAAAGAAAAAATATAAAATCATTGGTAATATTAACAATAGAAATACAATGAATAATGATAATAACAATGATTTTACTTTCATTTGTTTTAGGGAGATATCCCACACAGTTTTCCCATCGCGAGTCGAAGCAAGCCAATTAAGATACGTTGATGATGACGGTGATATTGGCCTTTTTAGTCCAACCATTAAGAGGAGCCGCCAAGAGGTGTCCCTTCTGAATGACGATACCTCAAGACTAATGGAGTCAGTCCTAAGAAAAAATATTCATAGCAGCATGGACGTGAATGCCAGGTTTGTAGTGTTGATTTGTGTTTATTCACATAAATAATGATATATGTGCCTGAAAAATGCATGATAATAATTTCATGATATAGTTAAATGTCTGAAAGGTTTCATATCTATATCTGTTTCTATTATGATCCGCAGTGTGTCTCAAAACATTTCCTCTGATTTGCTGTCCTTACTGCAAACCCCCAAAATTGCCCGTAAGAGGAAACCACTGAACCGTTCTGTGGGAGAGTCACCTCTTGCGGACACCCCACAGTCCATACTTAAGGTGGGTTGGTTTTCTTTTCTTTATTATTTTTTCTTTCTGTATTCAACTCTCATTTTTTCTCTTCCTCTTTTCATTTTTTACCCTGTAGCCCACAATTGTTCCCTTACTATGCTTGATTTATTATTATTATTATTATTATTACTATTACTCTGGCTGTTATTATTCCTATTTTATTACTCTGAATTATTATTGAATTACTACAATGTATTGTATGGCACTGCGCACACTAATCTTGGCTCAGACGGATGTTGAAATAGATCTCTGTTCAACTAGTTATTTTACAGAACAATAGCATTATCTGTGATATTCACTCAAGATTGATAGAAATTGAAGATTATATATATTTATATATATATTAATTTTTTCTTTCTTTCTTTCTTTCAAAGATTCTTTTTGTTATTGATCATTGGTTATATTTCTACTTGATGAACAGCTTACATTTTTCTTACTATCCTTCCAGGTGCGCCAGATGGTACAAAGACCCATGAGTCCATCAGCAACCAGCGACACTTCCATCCCAGTGTTCCCGAGAATTACCAAGAGAGCCAGTATCTGTAAGTAATCATTAAGTGTAGTCATTGGATCAGCATGCCTTATCAAGGTTGTATTTATTTTTATCAGCCCCCCTTTTTCTTTTCTTATTCATCTTTTTCTTTTGTTTGTTTTCTTTTACTTTTTATTTTCAATATATTTATAATATACAATGAAAGGAGATTACTATGAGTGTTCTAGGCCTTCAGTAGAATAAGAAGCTGGTATTTCTATATTATTTCTCAGTGATTCATAGGGTAAAATATCGTATTGATGTCTATGCAAGGAGCTTAAAACAAGTAATGACATGTCTCGGGGGGGGAAATTGCCGGGTGTCCCGCCAGTGTGACGCTGTATCAGGGCTCGCACTCCGACGCAGCAGCGGGCCAGCACGGGCAGAGTCCAGGCAAGCCCTGTGCGCCGATTTTGTAACCTCCCGGAAACTTTTATTTTCAGCTTCAAAATATACCAGTGGTAATGGGTTAATGAACCTGATCATTTCTCAAAGGAGGAAGGTACTGAACGGAATCTTTTCTTTTAGCAGCCAGTGAGGAGGTTGTGACAAGCAAAGTCAACGATACTAGCATGACCCCCAAGCAACTACGTTTCCACCTCCCCAAGATGAGAACAGAAGGAGAGAGCAACAGCAAGGAAGAAGTGCTGGATAGGGATGAAGAGGATGATCTGACACCCTTGAAACTTGATGTGGAAGAGGATGAGGAGCAAGAGGAGATTGATGAGGCAGTGGAGATTGATGAGGCAGTGGAGGAGGAGGAGGAAGAAGAAGAGGCGATGGAGCAGGAGGAGGAGGAGGAGGATGAAGAGGATGTTGCAGAAGTCGATGATGAAAAGGAAGTTGATGAAGAGGAGGAAAAGATAGCTGCTGAACAAGAAGTAGCAGAGGAAGAGTCTATAGACATGGAGGAGCCATTTAGGAAGACAGAAGCTGAGGAACAAGAGATGGAGGATGTAGAGGTAGAAGAGGAAGAAACAGATGAAATGGAATGCAATGAGGAAGAGAAAGAAACAAGCAGCGGAAACTGGATTGCCGTGTCACCTCGTCCAGAAATCCACAATAAGAAGCTAAGCCCAGTGAGGTAAGGAATGATTATTTCCCGTTAGTGTCTTTTGTTGGTTATACCCCCATTTTACTTATGGTTATTGTATGTGGATTTTATAAACTACCTTCTTTGACCCACTTATCACAGGTACAGTTGAAGATCTTGTGAAGTTGTCAGCATGAACAAGGTTGCATGTTTGTTTGTTTGTATCTGTTGAGAGAGTAGTAGTCAAGTTCGATTAACTGGGTACCAAACAGGTTTTTCAGTGACACAGTGGCACATTGTTTTGCATGACACAGTTACCCCTAAAATAAATTTTAAATTTGGAAGTCTAGTTTTCATCTCAAAGTTGGTAGAAATATGAGGAGCATGGATGCATTCTTCTGGGTTTATGGAGGAAAAGGGGGTTTATGTCTCAGGATGGAATTTTGTCTTGTTTCGACCCCTGACCAATACATTTTCACTTTGTATAGGCGGAAGTCTACTGGAATCCCATCGCCACGGCAACCTCTGCCTGGCTACGTGGCCAAAACAACTCGGGCAGAAGCAATGTTACCCCAGAGGTTAGAGCATGGAGTAAAGCATACCTGACTTGAAAAAAACAAGCTGCTTATGTGGTCTTGGTAGCTATAATGCTATAATGGAGGTGGTCTTTCAGTAGCTATCATGCTTATGTGCCTATAATGGGGATGTGGATAGGGAAATGTTCTCTTTTATATCTCTTGTAGTTGTATATTTGTATATTATCTGATTATTATTTTCTTTGTATAGTATTTAAGATCTTTTTCTCTTTCTTCTTTCTGTCATTGTCTCCAAGATATAAAATTCAGGCTACTTGGCAAACTAACATATTTGCTCTGTCTACTAGAGTTTTCATGTACATGAAAGTTTGTCTTTATGGCCTGTGTATAGTTTAGTTATTTGTGCATATATTTTTTATGTTTACTTAAAGGTCTTCCATTTTTGCAGTGTCTTCAAGGAGTGTGCTGATGCAGATGAAGTGGATGCAAGTAGAGCTTCTGAGGATGAAGTAGATGTTGAGTATCCGAGCCGGGAGACAACAGTGAATGAGGACTTTTATAGCTTCACGGAAGAGGATGACTTCAATGTCTCCGAAAAGTCTGCAATATCTTCAGCAGGAGATGAGGTGACCAAGGAATCTGATGCAATGGCTGATAGAGTAGAACAAAGGGAACTTGACTCTGAGAAGCCAAGTGAAACAGATGAGAAAATAGAATGCAGCCTTAATGAACTGCAAAACAATGGCCGTGGTATCATTGAAGTCCAACGGGTAGAATATGTAGTAGAAACCTCCAAACAGGAAGTCCATCATGAGGAGGTAAATAAATCTGTATTGATAGAGAAAGAGACGCTCATCCCAAGAGAACCTGAGACCAAAGAGGAGAAGTTACAGCAGCAACTCAATGAATCAGAACATTTTGGCACTCTACAATTTTCAGATTCTGAGAGCGAAGATGAATCAACAACAAAAGACCAGCTTCAAGAAGAAGCTATTACTGTGACCAGACAGGAATTTGTATTAGAAGAGAATGGTGGCAGTGCAGAAAATGAAGAGGAGATCATTGAGAAGCTGTCTGAGGAAGAGGAAGAGATGATAGTTGAAGCTCTCTCAGAAGAGGAAGATCTGAGTCTGGTTCTAGATACAACAGAGCGATTCAGCCCTCTGCGATTTTCAGATTCTGAAAGTGAAAACGATGGTTCTGACGGTGAACAGGAGAAAGGAATTGATAGAAATGGAACAGATAACAAGACTTTTGTAGAATTAAGTGAAACCAAAGACAAAGAGGAAATTAAGGTTGACGCTTCCCAGCGACATCCCGTAAGTGTGCAGGTTTTCAAAACAGAGATAGTCTCAGAGACAAAAGTCATCAGGAAGACTGTAGATTCTCCATTACCGAAGGAATCTGTCTTCACAGAGACCAGATCAGAAACTATCAGTGTAGAGAACAATAATGAAGAAATTGCAAAATATATTGAAGAGGATGTATCAAAGAAGAATATAACTGGTACAGAGACAGGAGAACCAATTGCAAGCAGTGAAGAAGGAGTATCATATACCTCATCAACAAATGGATCATCAGAACTAAACCACAAAGCCGTAGAAACAATATCATTTCCAGACATCTCAAAGTCCTCGACTGAGGTGCTGGAAGATCAGTCAGAAAAATTGGACATTCCATCTGCAGCAGACTCCATGGACGTGGATGAAGGACAGAGTGAGGTCATTCATCAAGAGAGCAAAGAAGTGGAAGTCCCGGAGAAAGACATAGACGCAGGCAAAAAGGAGAGTGTTGCCGAAAAAATGGAAGAAGAGATGGGTACATCTGTAGTAGATGGTGTAGTTGGCTCTAAAGTAAGTGTCTTAGTAGAAAAAGAAAATATGGAGACAGATGAAACTGAAGAGAAGGTAAATGCTGAAGTTGAGTCTCAGCTAGAACAGGAAGCTGTAGAAAGAGCAGAAATTGGTAGATTAGATGTTACACCTCCTGAGGATTCCAAGGAGGAAAAAACTGTTGATTTAGAAGATGGTGCAACAGCCACTGATGGTACTGTAATTAAGTCAGACATTGTGGAAAATAGAGATACTCAGGTTAGCAAGAAGATTGAAGAAATGATTCAAGAAGTAGAAAGCAGTCCTTTAGAGGAAAGTTCTAAACTTCCTACTAGACCAGAAACACCAACTAGAAAAGCTGAGGAAGTGCCAGAAACTTCAAGGGTAGCTTCAGTGCGAAGAAGTAGAAGAGTCAGCACATCATCACCAGCCACTCCTGCAACCCCAAGAAGAAGTCGAAGGACAAGTGGCAATACAGCAGATGAACCAGTGACTCCTGCCCACAAAAGTTTAAGTGAAGTTGCCTTTGAAAGGGTGACAAGGTCAGGAAGAAAGATTGGACAGGTGCCAACGCCGGTTACAAAGAAGCGGGCCACATCTCCCACGTCTAACCTTGTCTTGTCAGGGAGGATGCAGAGAAGAGCCTCAGCAGCAGCAGAGGAAGTGCAGAAAGTGACTCAGAGGCTGGAGTTGTCTACTGATGAAACTGAGGAGGCACCTGCAGCAGTTCAGGAACCAGAGTCTGTGTCTATAGCCACTCATGATGTCCTGCCAACTCCACCCTCATCACCTACAACTCCATCCACAAGGAGACGAAGGAGGCAGAGCTCTGGAGACGCTGAAGCTTCTGCCACCAAATCCCCGAGTAGGCGTTCTACCAGACAAAGTGCCTTGGATGAGTCTTTAGGGACAATTCAAGAAGAAGCAGAGGTATCAGAGAGTCTAGAGATTATAGCTCCAAAAAGTAAAACCACCCCTAGGAAATTAGAAGGTACTCCCACCAAAGCAACTCCAACTAAATCCACACCAACAAGGACACGCAGAAAATCAGCCAAACAAGCTGCTGGCATTGAGAGCTTAGAAACAATTAAAGAGGATGCAGAACTTTCAACTGGTTTTGTGCCTCTTGTTTTAGATGAACAGATAACAGGAACTCCATCCCGAAGAACTCGTCGCTCACTTGCAGGAGAGACCAGTCGCACGCCTGGCACTCTTACACTTGGAGAGGTTTCAGAGACCACACCTGAAACCAAGACCCCATCACGTACCAGAAGAAGGTCCATATCAAAGGCGTCAGAAGCCACTCCTGAAGTCAAGACTCCTATGCGTACAAGGCGGCAATCTGGTGCATCTGATGTTTCTGACATTGCAGTGGAAGCTAAGACACCAACACGAAGGACACGGAAATCTGTCACAAAGGAAGTGTTAGAAGTCACACCAGAGAAGAAAACTCCTGCAAGGACAAGAAGACAGTCAGTGTCCTCTGATGTGTCAGAAGCAGCTCAGGAGGTCAAGACACCAACACGCAGGACACGCCAGTCTGTTTCAAAAGAATTAATGGAGACTGTCCAAGAAGCCAAAACTCCAGTCCGCACAAGAAGACAGTCTGCTTCATCTGAAGTGTCAGAGGCTGCTTCAGAAACCCACGTGAAGACACGTGGAAGACGACAGTCGATATCAGAGAGCACGACAGAGGTTGTCCCTAAAGCAAAGACTCCCTCACAGAAGAGTCAACAATCTCAGTCAACCAAAAGCACAAGAAGAAGAACAATACAGGTTTTGCAATCTGAAGAAGACTCGGCTTTTGAAGCTGCACACAGATTGATCTCTGTCCCATCTCCAGGATCAGAAATATCACAGGTTAGTTAGCTGATGTAGTGTATCAGATTACTTGCCTTCAGGGGTTCATTGACCTTGAAACAACCTTTTTTTGTTGTTTATTTGTGTGTAATAAGTATGCAAAATATTATTTTAGATGCTGTTTGATTTGTTATTTTCATATGATTTTCATCATCAAGTATGTTCTATTTATTTATTTATTTATTTATTATTGTTTTTCCAGAGATCTCCAGATAGAATGTCAACCAGATCTAGCGTCAATAGCCCACTAACAAGCATAAAAGGTTGGAAAGAATGTGGCACTTTTTTTGTATTATAACAGTAGTACTGAGTAGAGCTCTCATTACAAGTACATTGTAGATGATGTTCTGGAGGTCTTTCCCTCTTTTGTTTTTCTCTTTTTCTTCTTTTTATTCTCTCTTTTTCTTTTCTATTCTTTTCTTTTCTGAGTTCATCCTGTCCAATCCCTGCAAACTTTGCACCAACTTTCCATGGACAATACCAACATCTTTAGTTTGTTGCAATTTTTGTTTGTCAGTAAATATCTGGAGATAACACATGAAAAGAATGAATATATATATGCAAAAAAATGTTTAGCCTGAAATAAGGAAGAGTAGAAATTGAGTAGTTTCCTTTGCATAATCTTGCGCCTCATATTCACAGACTCAGAGAGCAGCGAAGAAGAAGAGGTAGGCAGAAATAGATCATCTAAGCAAGCAAGTAAGAGAACAGGGAGAAAGTCTTTGGCAGTTGAGAAGATAGTGGATGAATCGACAGTCAGCAAGCGCAAGAGTCGTCGTCTCACCAGCAGCACACTCCCAACGGCTATAGTGAGTGAGTTGCCTGAGAAGATCAAGACTGGCAAGGCATCTCGAAAGTCAGTTGTGTCGTCAAAGCTTTATGCTGATACAGGTATGTATGTATGTTTTTTTGTTTTTTTTTGCTATCTCTTCATAGCTGTCCACCTCTGCCCCTCTCCCAGTCACCCCCCCCCCCTCTCTCTCTCTCTCTCCCTCCCCCCCTCCCCCCTTTCCAGCCTTCACTCATGTTTGTGTATCCAGTTTTTAGTGGATAATTTCCCTCTGGGTAATTGGACTTAATAAAAGTCAGGAGTTGTCAGTATAATTTGCTTTTCCCTTCCTCAGAGACAGGGTTGTCCACGCCCCCAGAATTTGGTGCTACTCGTCGTGCGCGGACTTCAAAGAAAGGAAGTATTGCCTCCACTTCAATATTGCTCTTGGAGGATTCAAAAGAATTACTGGACGAAGAAGAGGAAATGGTCCTGGAAGGTGGAGGGGATGTGTTTGAAAGTGTAGATGACGGTGAGTTTTTAACAGAGTTCATCTATATGGGTAACATTTCATCCTTACTTGCTTCTGAATTCAATATTTTTCTTTTATTCTCTCCTTTTTTGAGAGCCTTCAACCATATAGGTGACATTTCCTCCTTGCTCCAGTATTTCACTCTCTCTCTCCCTCATGCTATCACTCTCCAAGCTCTCATTCCCTCCCTCTCCCTCCCTCTCCCTTCCTCTCCCTCTCCGTCTCCCCCCTCCCCCTCCCCCTCCCTCTCTNAGACAAGGAGAGGAAAGAGAGAAGGAGAAAGAGAAGAAGAGGAGAGAGAAAGAAAGAGAAAAGAAGAGAAGAGAAAGAGAGAGAGGAGAAGAGAGAGAGAGGAGCAAGAGAGAGAGAAAAGAGAGAGACAGAGAGAAGAGAGAAAGAGAGAGAGAGAGAAAGAGAGAGAGAGAGAAAGAGAGAGAGAAGAAAGAGAGGAAAGAGAGAGAGAGAGAGAGAGGAGATGAGAGGGAGAAGACCGAGGAGAAGAGAGAGAGAGAGAGAGAGAGAGAGAGAGAGATGAGATGAGAGAAGAGAAAGGAGAGAAGAGAGAGGGAGAGAAGAGAGAAGAAGAGAGAGCGAGAGAGAGAGAGAGAGAAGAGAGAGAGAGAGAGAAGAGAGAGAGAGAGAGAGAGAGCATGAGGGAGAGAGCCAGAGAAGAGAGAGAAGCATGAAGAGAAAGAAGAGCATGAGAGCAGAGAGAGAGCAGAAGAGAGAGAAATGAGAAAAGAGAACGAGAGAAGCAAAGAGAGAGAAGAAAGAGAGAGAAGAGGAGAGGAGAGAGAGAGAAGAGAGAGAAGAGAGAAAGAGAGAAATAAAAAATCTAAAAGAATCGATGAACATACAAACATTTATAACAGATTATTACAATCCAATGATCCAATGGCTATTTTCCGCTAACAGAGATTTTAATCATACAGTCATGTTTTAATGAAAGCAAAAACGATAACAAAACTCGATAACGGTCTTGCAATTCGCAAACAGAAATCAATTGTCACGACGTCGTAAACCTACTCACACATGACGTGCGTGTGGGGGTCGTTGGTTGCAAGTCCAGTATATATATATATATCGTTTTCGGTTAGTAGTGCTCACCTGAAGAAGCCAGGCTGCCTCTGTTAGAGATGATAGCCTCGCATTCAAGATCGATGTGGCGACATTACGATCTTTCAATTGCTTTTGTGGTGACGTCACAGTGATTGGTCATTTTAGCGAGCTTTCGTCTCATTTTTCCCCGAAGTTGCTGATGTCGCTCATTCGACCTAGTCACCATAAGCTTTTGGTAATAGTAGGAATGCAGGGGCGGGAAAGGGGGATGATTGCGCTCCCTTTAAGGTGTTACTCATCCTTCGTACACATCCACACCTGTATGGATGACGTCATCGAGTCCCGGTCTCCTCCCTTGCAACCTTCTGCAACCTACACTCCGCAACTTTTACCTTCTGTTTGCTTCAACCTGCTTTATTCATTATCTTAAAGCACTGTTTTTCTTCTCTTCTATCTCGTTCTCCTCTCTTCTTTCTTTCTTTCTTCTCTCTCCATTATCTTTTCTCTTTTTTTTCTCTCTTTCCTCTCCTCTTTTCTTCTCTCTTCCTCTTTCTTTCTTCTTCTCTCTCCTTTCCCCTTTCTTCCTTCATTCTTCCCTCTCCTCCCCCTATCTCAATTTCCCTCCTCCACGTCGCTGCGCCTCCTCTCTCCTCCTCTCTCCCTCCTATCTCTCGCCTCTCTTCTCTCTCTTTTCCTTTCCTCTCTCTCTCTTTTCTCTCGTCTCTCCTCTCTCACTCTCTTCCTCTCCTCTCTCGCTCTCTCTCTCTCTCTCTCTCTCTCTCTCTCTCTCAGACAAGTCATTGACGGCGTTTTGTATTTTTTTCTTCTTTTTTTCGGGCATTCTCTGATTAATCCCGACGGATCGGGGATGCGGATGAGGATATCTGCCGCCAGAACCCAGCGTCTCAAGGTTGGCATTTATGAGGTAATGAACCCTCTCTGATCCGTCGTATCATGGCGCGATAAGGTTAAGGAGAGAGTGATTTTTGCACCGAAAGGCAGAGGAAGGGAGGGGGAAGGAGGGAAAGGTTAAGGGAAAGGGGAAAGGATGGAGCGAGAGGTGGGAGGGGGAGGGAGAGGGAAGGAGGGAGGGAGGAGAGGGAAAGGGAAGGAGGAGGAAAGGGAAAGGGAAAGGAAGGGAAAGGGAAAGCGGAAAGGCGAGAGGGAGGAGGGAGGGAGCGGAGGAGGCCAGGGAGGGAGGGAAGAGCGAGGGAGGAGGGAGGGGAGAAGAGAGGAGAGGAGAGAGAGAGAAAGAGAAGAGAGAGAGAGAGACGAGACCGAGAAAGAGAGAAACCTGAAGAGAGAGGAGAGAAGGAGGAGGGAGGAGAGAGACCGAGAAAGAAAGAACGAGAAGATAAATAAAGAGAGGAACGAGTGAAGAGACAAGAGACGACGAGCGAGAAGACAGACGGAGGATCGAGAAGCGAGAGCGAAGAGATGGAGGAGAGAGAGAGAGACAGCATGGAGAGGCAACCGATGAAGAGAAGAGAGAGAGACGAAGAGAGAGATTGAAAGAGAAATTAAAGAAGAGAGAGAGAAAAACTAAAGAGAGAGAAGGATGCGAGAGGAGGAAGAAAGAGAGAAAATATTAAACCGAGAAAGAGGACAGAGAAATGAGGAAATATAAACGAAGACGGACGCGGAGAGAGGAAGAAGAGAGAAAAGAGGATAACGGGTGGCAAGATAAGACAGAGGACGATGGGGAAAGGGAGGAAGATGAGACTGAACGACTTGTTATTTTTACTATAAAATTCAATGGCTGAGCGGCATCTATCACGGAGAGGCATCAGAATCCCACCCCTTTACGGCCAGACCCATCACACAGGATCGGACATTCCAAAACGCAAACCCCTTAATTACCTTAATCACACGACGACCAAAAATTCCTAGCCGGGACCGTACACGACGTATTGCAAAATATGGAATGCGCGAAAGGAGAAGCATCGCGGAGGGAAGAATCTCCCCGTCCAGAAATGAACAAGTGAATGTATAAATAGGAACATAAATTAAGTAAAATACATACATAATAAATAATTGAACAGGATAAATAGAAGAGAAATCCCAATTATAATACAGTACAGAATAACATACCACTTTACTTTTGTGCCTACAGATGTGGAAAACTACAACGACTAATTAATTAAGGTAAATAAAACAATAAAAAACTTTAATTTTGTTGCAAAAAAAAAAATAATTCCTACATTAGATTTAGGTTCAGATGGGTGAATAACCATTATTAAAAAAATAATCAACCCTTACTTTTTCAATATTAAGGACGAATCCAAATGGTACTTTTGCTCGTATGAGATGAGATATATCCAACAGGACCGATTACAATTGCACACAACTATATTTAACAAATATATATACTTCCAGTGTATTTGCAAACCCAATGAAATTGTATTTAAATAAACCACAATATACAAGAGATATAAAATAAATAATTTAAGAACATTAAAAATCCCATCCCTTTTCCCTTCTTTCCAATACATCTGACAAAAAACTAAACTAAATAAACCTATTTTGAAAAAGAACGAAAGAAAGAAAGAAGAAAAGAAAAGAAAAAAAATAACTATATATTACTTGACTGATTGTCTTCAGAGTCAATAGCGGACGAAATACACGAACAAAAAAATAAATAAACAAATGAATAAAGATTTCAAACCCACCCACCTTACCTCTCCTGCAGAAACCAACCACGAAACCAAGCGCCACAGCAGGGCGACCAAGCACCCTGCCAACTCATTCATTACAAGGCGTCTCCCTGCGTACCCTGCCGCGCCTACGATGCGAGACCGAAGGCAATTACTCGAGTATTTTTAAATGTAAAATGTCCTTAAAATAGTTCTGAATAAGCTCGGGCAGAAGAATGCATGTGATACTCTCAGCGGGATGTTGGGCGCTGGGCTAAGGGCCGTCGAGTGTGATGGACGAAGAAAGTGGACACGCGGTAAACACGAAATGCGCAACTCCAAACGACGGATTTCATTGAGGGGAAAGTCATTCACAAACGCAGACTTATACATTCAAAAAAAAATAATAGTAACAACAATAGTATGATGATGATGAATAACAATAAAATAATGATAATGTAGTACTGCTAATATTAGTACCACAACTACTAATGATATCATAATGTAATAACAACAATAAAAATAAAATGAATGATAACAACAACAACAACAATAATAATAATAATAATAACAATAGAAATATTAATTATAAAAAATAATAATATAATAACAATAACAATAATAATAATAATAATAATTTCCACAGCAGATACCTAAGAACAAGAACAGCAGCACCAACATTAAGTGATAAAGAATAACAAGAAATAATGCAATAAAACCGAGGACAAAAACACGACACTTGACCACTTTATAATGGCCAACATGAAAGTGTCGTCCTTTATCGATATATCACATTGCATATCTGAGCCAATTTTCTGTGCTCAGCTTTCGATTAGGGCACAGGGGCCTGGCAGGTACATTAAAATCAGAAAATAAGTAAGAAGATCAGTCGAAAGAAATGTTCGTGAGTCTGGAAAAGGGAAAAAGAAGGAAGTAGAAGAAAAATATATATAGTTTTCCCACTCACAGTGAAGAAGACCAAACATTACAAACACCCGTATCAACTAAATACGCCTCGTACGTCGTGAAATAGCACATTATAGGCAGAACACTGACGGACCTCCCAAACTTCCACAAAGTCGACAGTTCAACGCAATAATGACACCGATCCGCCTGACCCAACTGCTACACCGCTCCTAACATATTCATCGTCTCTGAGACCACCTTCGCTTAACCGTGTGAGCCATAATCACCCTGTCACCGCACTCCCAATTCGCCCAAAACTACCGTCCATGTTTCAGACTTGACAGTCCTTCAACCGGAGGACCTCCCACACTGCACACCGTCCTTCACAGTTGACACAAGGCCATCGTGTTAGTTGCCCTCCAGTCCGACATTCAGTACCGCCTTTCCTCTTTCGACAAAAATCCACACACCCGGCAGCACTATCCACAATCTTAGACTGTGCTCGCGCCCAAGCGCTAATCGACAATATGACCCTCATGTGCTGCCCCGCTACTGGAATCGCGAACCTGCAACATCGGCTCCACCTTACAAATCCTGCTGAACCACGCGCCGCCTCAGTACCTAGCTACCTCGTGCTCAGGACCACCGCCTGCCAACTTATTTCGGTACAGGATACTTTGGCCTCCAGGCGAACAACTCTTCTTATTTTGTCATTCTAGCTACACTCCGTCACGCGCGGGCCACATTGTCCTTGCAGCCAGATTGCGAACGGGACGACACCTGACCCTCCGAACAGAAATCGGACTCAAAATAACACTGCTGAATGTCCGCCATTTTTCGCCCTCTTTCCACAACAACTTGATTTACACAGCAAACCTCTGCAGTATATCGCTACTTATTAGGGAGGTAAGTCCTAAGAAGACCCTTACAACCAGAAGAGAATCGATCCCATGTCTGCCCCCAAGAAATCCTGCCCGGGCTTCCTCCCCCTCTCCCACCTCCTTTTACGCATTGCCTGACTCTGGACGCCGTGAAGGTCAATTTTGGGCAACACTGCGACAAATATTTCTCCGTTTATAGGTGAAAAACGAAGGTAGAATGAGTGATTTACGCTTCGGAAAGCGCAGAGCGGAGAAGGTGCTAGGAGAGAATAAAGGAGAGAGACTTGAGGGCGGAAGGAAACATCAAGGAGAAAGGGAAGAAGAGAAGAGGAGGGGAAGAAAGGAGGAGGGAGAAGAAAATTAAGGTCTAGAGGGACAGGGAGAAGAAGATCAGGCAAGAAGAAGAAAAGAGAAGGAGAGGCGTGAGGAGGAGGGAGGAAAGAGAGAGAGGAAAGGAAGAAGGTGAAGGAATAGAGGATGAAATAGAGGAAAACAGAGAGAGAGACGAGAGAAGGGTGGAAGAGATGTTCTCTGGTGGGATGAGAGACGGCGAGGAGAGAGAGGAGAGAGAGAGAGAGAGGAGGGCAGGTGATACTGAGGGAGCGGGAAGGAGAGAGGAGAGGGATAATGAGTATTTATTGATTGATGAGTGAGATTCATTCAGTGAAGGTAATTTGGAGATTTGAGGTATTATTGGGGAATTTGTCTACTAGATCCGTGAGAGAGAGAAGACGAACGACGTATGATGGAGGAGAAGAGAGGGAGGATGAAGAGATTTTAAAGATTTAGTTTTAATTTCATATTACAATGGATAATTTCCCTTTTCTGATGACGTACTCGTGTCTTATCTTGCTCTGTAAAAAATCGTCCCCCTGTGTGCAAGGAATGGGGGAATTACCAATCCACTGGCCAAGTTCGCCGGGGAATATGATTAAACCATACAGGGGGAGCCATTATGAGAGGGATCGAGGAGAGGGAGAGAGAGAGAGAGAAAGGAGGTGGAAGGGAGAAGAGAAAACGGCGAGCAATAGAGCGAGAGATGAGATGAGAGATTGGCGGAATCGGAGAGAGAGGATGAGACGAAAGAGAGAGAGAGAGAGTTGTATTTGGGTATTAAGTGAGAGAGAAGAGATTGCTTCGGGATGTGCATTAATAAAATTGTTATTGATCTTTGTTGTCGAGACCTAGAAGGACTTATTCGAATGTGCAGAGAGAGAGAGTGGGGGGGAGGAGAGAGGGAGAAAGAAGGAAAGAGTAGATGAGAGGAAGATAGCGGGCGAGAGGAATGACGAGTCTGGAGCGTAGACGCTACATGCGTCTCGAGGCTGCTTCGTGACGCGGTAGCGTACCGAGTAGTCTGCGTCACTACGGAATCGTCTCCAGCGATCTCTCGTAGAGTATGAGGAGAGAGGAAATATAGATATATAGAGATGAGGAGAGAAGAAGAGAAGGATGTAGAGATAAGGAGAGTAGGAAATGAGGGAAAACTATGAGAGTAAAGTCATAGATGAAAGTGAAGATGAGAATTGAGCGATGGTAGAGGGGAGTAGGAGGTGGGTGTTGTGCCGTGTGAATCTAGAGTCGGAGGAGGTAGAGTGCTATCGAGGGCATATAGACGAGGTGAGACGAGAGAGGGAATAGAGAGGGAGAGGGAGAGAGAGACACGGCGCAGGCACACACGAAATTATAAGAGATATAGATAGAGGAGGAGGAGGAGGGTATATATATATATATATAATGAGGTAATAGAGAGGAGGATAGAGAGAGAGAGAGACAGGTATAATGAAGATACTATAGATATAATATACCATAATATACATAGTATACATAGCCATGACATAGAGTAGATAGAGACCATACTACATACATAAGCGAATACATACATAATACATCATATCATTACATACGATAACAAGAAGACATACATACACGCACAGCATCATATAGAGAGTTATGTGTGTATAGAACAAACCAACTAGAAAGGGTAAAAAAAAGGAAAAATAAAAAGACACGATTAACAGGAAAAGAGAGCACAAACTTTTGAACCGGAAGAGAGTGGGCGGGAAATGAAAGGAAAATGCGCTTGAACGGTGGGCGCTGAGAGAGAGAAGAGGAGAGAGAGAATGAGAGGGGACTGAGAAGAGACGAAGAGGAGAGAGAGAGGATGAGAAGGAGAGAGAGAACGAAGAGAGAGAGGAAAGTAAGAGAGGAGAGAGAAGACGGAGAGGAGCTAAGAGAGAGATGGAGAGAGAGGATAGAGAGCACGAGGATCGGATGAGATGAGGTATGGACAGGTAGAGGAGAGGAGAGGATGAACAACTTCGACGTCACCCCCTCGAAAGGAAAAAATACCATGAGCGCCAAAAGATCTAAAAAAAAAGCTCGAAGTGACAGCCCATGTCTCGAGATCACCCATTTTACGTTCTCTTTTTTTCTCGGAAATAATTGCCCGGCTGACGACCAGGTGCGCCAGGACCTTTCAGCGCCGCGTTTCAGTACTACCCGGGTACAGTGATATTCCGTGGCGGTTTAAGTATATGAGCGAGCGTTTGGGATCAACTTAAAGAGGCAGCCGAGGGTTAAGGTATTGACCGTTTAGAATTTACTTAAAAGAGACTTTTTAAGAGAAGAGTAGCATTAAAGAGGTTTAGACGGTGAGTAGGCCGCACACAGAGCACTTGTAATTAACAGGGAGGCACCGAAAAGAGCGATTCTGAACCTATAACAAGCTTTTCACAAGCGCAATAGACAGTCATTCTCAACGTCGTGACAACTGTTTGAGCGAGAGAATCACACCACGCGAGGACGCAAGCAGCGTATGGAGCCAACTTAAGATAGGACGTTGGTCAAAGTGCGCTGAGGGTCAGCCGGCGAGAACGAGGTGGGTACATGATAATAGTTGGGAGTATAACCGATCATGAGGGTCATGTTGCCCTGTGAGATGTAAGCTTTGGGAAGGGGGGGGGTGGAGGGAGAAGGAGGAAGTTAAGGAAGCGCGGGCAGGAGCAGTAGAGAGAAGGACAGAGAGGAAGAAGAAAAAAGAGACAAGAGGATGGGAGGAAAAAGGGAAGAAGAGAGAGAGCAGAGAGGGAGAAGAGGCTGAAGATGGAGAGGAGGAGAGGTGAGGTTGGATGAGAGAGGTGTGAGGAGGATTAGAGAGAGAAAGGAGAAGGAGAGCGAAGAGAGAGAAGAGAGAGAGAGGGAGAAGGGAGAGAGAGAGAGGAAAAGAAGATGAAGAGAGAGAAAAGATGGAAGAGAGAGATTAGAGAGAAGAGAGAGAGAGAGAGAGAGAGAGAAGCGATTAGAGAGACAGATTGAGAGAGACAAGAGACAGGGGAAATAGAGAGAAGTAAGACGCCACCAGAGAGGAGGAGAGAGAAGACGAGAACAGAGAGGATGAGACCACTACCAAGAACAGCGATCAGAATAACAACAAGGCTGAGAAAAAAAGAGAAGAGGATCAATGTCATAGAGTGAGGGGCATGAGAATGTCAGGATAAGAATTTTAAACGTCGAGTCGGAGGAACTGTTCCGGATCTGCGCCTCTTCGCTCTTTTGGGATATTGCGGAGAGAGCAAGACAGCGGCAAGTGTCGGGGAGAAATGGAAAAAGAGGAGATGGTAGGAGAAAGCGCGGTAGAGGAGAAGAGAGGGAGGGAGGAGAGGAGAGAGGAGGGCGGAAGGGGGAGAGGGGAGATGAGAGAGGAGGGAGGAGAGAGAGAGGAGAGAGAGAGTGAGAGGAAGAGAGAGTGAGAGAAGAGAAGAGCGAAAGAACGGCGAGAAGGGGAGGCGAGAGAGAGGAGAGAAGAGTAGGAGGCGAGAGGAGGGAGGGAGGCGACGAGGAGAGGCAAGGAGGAGACAGAGGGAGAGAGGAAGGGAGGAGGGGAGGAGAGGGAAGGAGGAGGAGGAAGAGGGAAGAAAAGAAGAAGGAGAGGGACCCGGAAGAAGGTCGACGAGGGAGAGGAAGAAAAGAGTAAGAGAGGAGAAAAAGAGGAACGAGAAGGGAGAGAAAGAGGGGGAGGAAATGAAAAGGAAAGAAGAGGAAGAGGAGAGAGGACGAGAGAGAGAGAGAGAGCGAAGAGGAGAGAGAGAAGAGATGAGTGAGATGGAGAGGAGATGAAAGAGAGAGAGAGAGGAGAGAGAGGAAGCGAGGAGAATAGAGAGAAAGGGAGGAAGCGGAACGGGAGAAAGCCAGGGAAGGAGAGAGACGAGGGGAGAGGAGTGAGGCGGACCAGCGGAGGGAGGGGGAAGGAGAAGGCGAGAGGGAGGAGAAGAGAGAAAGGGACGAGGGAGCGAGAAGGAGAAGGGAGAAGAAAGGGAAGGAGAGTGAGAAGCGGAGAGGAGAGAGAGAGAGAGAGGAGAGAAGAAGAAGGAAGGTGAGGGCGCGAGGGAACGGAGAGAGAGAGGACGATGAGAGAGAGAGGAGAGGAAGAAAGGGAAGGAGAGGGAGGAGAGAGAGAGAGAGAGAGAGAGAGAGAGAGAGCGAGGAGGGAGAGGAGAGAGAGAGAGAGAGAGGAGAGAGGAGAGAGGAA